TTGACCAGGATGGTCTCGATCTCTTGACCTCGTGATCCACCTGCCTCGGCCTCCCAAAGTGCTGGGATTACAGGCTTGAGCCACCGCGCCCGGCCTCATCCTTCCTTTCTAAACTCAGTTCCACATTCATTTCTTGTTTCTTTTTGAGAGAATATCGCTCTGTTACCCAGGCTGGAGTGCAGTCACGTGATCCTGGCTCACCGCACCCTCCACCTCCCAGGTTCAAGCAATTCCCCTGCCTGAGCCTCCCAAGTAGCTGGGATTACAGGCACCCACCACCACGCCTGGCTAATTTTTGTAATTTTAATAGAGACGGGATTTCACCATGTTAGCCAGGCCAGTCTTGAATTCCTGACCTCAATTGATCCACCCAGTTCAGCCTCCCAGAGTGCTGGGATTACAGGCGTGAGCCACCGCACCCAGCTGGGTTCCGCATTCATTTATTTCCCAAGCATCTCCCTCTGCTGAGTGATGCCAAGAACACAGTGATGATCAAGGCAGCCCACTGGGAGACAGACCCATCACTGCAAGGGATCAGGGCCAGGATGGGGAGGCCCAGGCTGAGGGACTGGGGCCCAGGCAGAGGGATCAGGGACAGGATAGGGAACTGGGGGAGGGCAGGCAGAGGGGTCAGGCCCTGGGCTAGACAGGGCTGGAGACAGGAATGGCTGAGACATCTCGGTGCCCTGACCTCACCGGTTCATCAGAGAGCAACAGCCCAGAAATGGTCAGGGCCGTGACAGGGAGGGCACGGGCAGAGGGGTCAGGGCTGGGATTCCGAGTATGTAGGAGGTCTCGGAAGTCAAAAGGAAGGGCTTGGCTTGTCATGGGTCAGGAAGGCAGGGCTTCCTGGAGGAGGAGGAGGTGTGTAAGGTGAGTCAGGAAGTGAGGGTAAGGAAGGGCAAAGAACACACAATAGTGAACAAATCCCCAAGAGGTTGCTTAACACCATCATTAAAAATAAAATACAATGCAAGTGAGTTTCTTAATTTTATTTAATTTTAATTAATTTTGGGGGTATAGGGTCTGGCTCTGTCACCCAGGCTGGAGTGCAGTGGTGCAGTCACAACTCACTGCATTCTTGACTTCCTGGGTTCAAGTGATCCTCCCACCTCAGCCTCCTGAGTAGCTGGGATTATAGGCACATGCCACCATGACCAGCTAAATTTTAAATTTTTTGTAAAGACAGAGGGGAGGAATCGCCTTATGTTGTCCAGGCTGGTCTTGAACTGACCACAGGTGATCCACCCACATCGGCCTCTCAAAGTGCTGGGATTACAGGTATGAGCCACCATACCCAGCCTGTAAAGCTACTTTGTTGTTGTTGTTAAGATGGAGTCTTGCTCCGTTGCCCAGGTTGGACTGCAGTGGCAGGATCTCAGCTCACTGCAACCCCTGCTTCCCAGGTTCAAGCAATTCTCCTGCCTCAGCCTCCCAAGTAGCTGGGATTACAGGTACCTGCCACCACGCCTGGCTATATAAAGCTACTTTTAAAGGGCCTTTGGAATAGCTGGCTGAGAATAGAAATCAAGGCAGAAAGGAGTTAATTACAAAGAGGAGAAAAGAGGAGGAAACAGACAGGGAGAGGAGAGAGAGAGAGAGTAAACGTTAAAGGTGTTAGGCTTGGGAGGCCGAGGTGTGCGGATCACCTGGGGTTGGGAGTTCAAGACCAACCTGACCAACACTGAGAAACCCCATCTCTACTAAAAATACAAAATTAGCTAGGTGTGGTGGCAGTTGCCTGTAATCCCAGCTACTCTGGGAGGCTGAGGCAGAAGAATCACCTGAACCTGGGAGGTGGAGGTTGCGGTGAACTGAGATCACGCCATTGCACTCCGGCCTGGGCAACAAGAGCAAAACTCCGTCTCAAATACATAAATAAATAAAAACTAAAAAAATAAAAAATAAAGGTATTGGGCAGAAGGAAGCCCCTATGCTGAGGTGTGGCCAAGACAGAGACGGAGACAGAGACTGAGACACAGAGACAGACAGGCAGACACGGAGGTCAAGGTCAGGGAGTGAGGGTCCCGGGACAGCAAGGGGACAGCACAGGGAAGGGCTGAGAATGAAATGGGCCAGGCATTGTCCTAACGCTTTGGGGTGACTCACTGGGCATTGGCGATCCCTCAACATGGGGTGCCACCCTTTGATGCCAGAGTTCCCTGGCATGGTGCTGGTGGCAGTGGTGGTGGGCTGCCCCAGGGAAGGCACCCTCAATATCTTTCAGTCATAAATCTAGGACCCTCTCGTAACTGCTTTCTCCTTCTGTGCCCACAGGGACCCCAGATGATGCCAGCTTACCCTGTAAGTGCCTGCTGGTGGGTGAGGGTCCTCCCCCCAGTGGGGGTCCCTCAGCCCCGCTCACCCTCCCTGTCTTCCATCTATCATTCAGGGTCCTGGACATTTCCATCAACAGCTGAACAGCCTGCCCGTGAGTGCGGGACTGGGAGGTCCCCGGGGGTGGGGTGGGAGTGCTGGGAGTTGCGGTGGGGGGACTAACAGGGGTTGCAGCCCCCAGTTGTACTAACCCAGCACCTGGAGAAGCGCTGGAGTCTAATGGGTGTGTCATACATATCTGTCGACTCTTGGAGAATAATATCGCTTCTTCTCCCTTCACAGTCTATGGAGGGACCCCCAGTCTTCAACCCGGTATGGCTTAGGGGAAAACAGAGACAGGTGGTGGGGAGGGGGCATGGATCCCTGGGGAACCTGAGACAGCCAGAAGACAGTGGGCTGAGGGTGTTTGGGTTGGGAGGTGTGGGGAGGGTAGATAGAGTTGGGTGGGGGTCAGGGTTGGGGAGTGGAAGGGGCTGGGGATATTTTCCAGGAGGAGTGGGGAAATTTGTTCTCAGAAAATTTGTTCTTGGCCGGACACGGTGGCTCACACCTGTAATCCCAGCCGTGTGGGATGCCAAAACAGGTGGATCACTTCAGGTCAGGAGTTCCAGACCAGCCTGGCCAACATGGTGAATCCCCCTCTCTACTAAAATTACAAAACTTAGCTGCGTGTGGTGGTGCACGCCTGTAGTCCCAGCTACTCAGGAGGCTGAGGCAGGAGATTCGCTTGAACCCGGGAGTTGGAGGTTGCAGTGAGCCGAGGTCGTGCCGCTGCACTCCAGCCTGGGTGACAGAGGGAGACTCTACAAAAGAAATGTGTTCCTGCAAGGCTGGGCATGGTGACTCACGCCTGTAATCCCAGCACTTTGGGAGGCTGAGGTGGGAGGATTGCTTGAGACCAGCAGTTTGAGGCTGCAGTGAGGCTTGCTCATGCCACTGTACTCCCGCCTGGGTGATAGAGTAAGACCCCATCTCTTATAAGAAAAAGAGAAAGGAAAGGAGAGGGGAAGGGAGGGGAGGGAAAGAGAGGAAAAGAAAAGGAGATTTCTTCCCACATCTGGCTTGCTAAGCTGAGAGAGAATGGGGCCCCGCGTTCTCTTCCCTCAGCCTGTGCCATATTTCCGGAGGCTGCAAGGAGGGCTCACAGCTCGAAGAACTGTCATCATCAAGGGCTTTGTGCCCCCCACAGGCAAGAGGTATGGAGCGTAGGCTAGGTGGGAGCCCCCAGCTCCTCCTCCCTCAGACCCAACAGTCTAGACCCTCTGCCCCCTCCTCCTTTAGGGACCCAGAGATTAGTCCACAGGCCCCTCCCCCGTGGGCTCCCTCTGACTCCCCCCTCCCTCTCTGTCTCCAGCTTTACCGTCAACTTCAAGGTGGGCTCCTCAGGGGACATAGCTCTGCACATTAATCCCCGCATTGGCGACCGTACCGTGGTCCGGAACAGCCTGGTGAATGGCTCGTGGGGATCTGAGGAGAAGAACATCTCCCACAACCCCTTTGGTCCCGGACAGTTCTTTGATGTGAGTCTGGGCTCTCTTTTCCCACCTCCCTCCAAAGCCACGGTCCTGGCCCAGCCTCACACCCGCCCTCTCCCTGCAGCTGTCCATTCGCTGTGGCTTGGATCGCTTCAAGGTTTTCGCCAATGGTCAGCACCTCTTTGACTTCACCCATCGCATCTCAGCCTTCCAGAGGGTGGACACGGTGGAAGTCCTTGGTGATGTCACCTTGTCTTATGTCCAGATCTAATCTATTCCTGGGGCTATAACTCATGGGAAAACAAAGATTTCCTAGGACTCCTTTCTAAGCCCCTAATAAAATGTCTGAGGGAGTCTAATGAGTGTGTCCATTTTCTCCCTTACTGCTCTTCCCTTCCGTGGTTCAGGCATGCACTTCATCTATCGCTCATCCGTCTCGTCATCTGACCATTCCTCCTCCCATCGTCATAGATCTGGTTATGCCCCAAGCACTGATTTAGGGCTCATTCACTCCTCACAGCAACCCCAAGAGGTAGAAACCATTATTAACCTCCCTCTGTAACAGATGAGGAAACAAAGGAAAAGAAAACCAATGGCCCAAATTGCACAGTGCATAAATGGCAGAAGAAGGATGAAAATCCAGTTGGTCTGGCTCCCCAGGCTGCACACTAAACCACTATACAGCCTGTCATTCCATCCCTCCATGCCTCCATCCCTCCACTCAACCATCCCAACATCCATCAGTCTCTCCAGGTATCCCAACACAAGTCCATCCGACCACCCACCAATCAGACATCCTACCATCCAGACATTCATCAATCCATCTACTGATATGACTGTTTAACTGTCCTTTCATCCAACCCTTTATCCATCTACCCATCCATTTACCTCTGCACACACCCACCTTATTGACAGTCTCTCCAAACATGCAATGAACCGTGTGTTCACCCAACATCCAACCATTCATCCACTCACCAGTCCATCTAGCTCTCCCTATCCCGCTGCTTGTGCATTCATTCATTCATTCATTCAACCCTTTATCCATCGCCCATCCATCTGACCATCCATCATCCTCCCATCCATCCAAATATCTACCCCTCTACCAGTCCATCTATTCATTCAGCCGTCCTTACATCTACCTTTCATCCCTCCATTTGTCATGTAATTCTCTGCTTTCCATCACATTCATCCATTTGTCCTCTATATGCCATTCATCCCTCCATTCACCCATTCATCACTTTTCCATCTCTATCCAATTATCCATTTATTCATCTCTTGATTATCTCTTTTTTTTTTTTTTTTTTTTTTTTTTT